CTGTTCGCCTCAAGGTGTGCTCAGCAGGAGGGGGCTGCCAGAGAGGAGGAGATTGCAGACTTCCTTAAACCAATGACGAAAGCCTTGACCGGTCATCAAAGAGCCCAACTAGACCGCCCGTTGTCACAGGCGGAAATCTGGATGGCGTTAATGCAGATGAACGAGGAAAATACCTCGGGGGTGTGGAACCAAATAGCCCCGGATCTCATGGGTTTCTACCGTCAGGTGTGGGAATCTGGCTGCATGGGTGAGTTGGTAGGGCAAGGCGTTCTCACCCTGCTGCACCAAAAGGGTGATACGATGGATATAAAAAACTACGGACCGATAACCCTGCTCACAGTTGTTTATAAAATGCTAGCGAAGGCTCTGGCAAACCGTCTGATCCCGGTCTTAGAGGATCTCATTCACCCGACGCAGATGGGTTTGTCAAAGGGTGTCGGGTCCATGACAATATTATGTTGGTTAATGAACTCCTTAAGTTAACCAGGCAAGAAAAACATAATGCAGCCGTGGTCTTTATTGATTTTGAGAAGGCATACAACCACGTGGACTGGTTTTTCTTAGATAAATGCATGGAGAAAATGAACATTGGCCCGTCTTTTCGACGCTGGATTAAGATTCTGCACCACAACGCCACCACGTTCGTCCAGATAAATGGCATCCTAGCACCAGTGATCTCGTTGCAGTAGTCGGTCCGCCAAGGAGACCCTTTGGCCCCCTTCCTCTTCATAATCGTGATGGAGGCGTTGGCGACGAATCTCCGGGCTAACAAGATCTCACCAAGCTGCAGATCTTTGCCATTCTGGAGAAGGCGATCCTCGTTTGTTCAATGTTTGCGGGCGATTTGACCATCATGGTGGATGCCACCCCCGAGAATATGGAAGAAATTAGGCAATTGCTGGATAGGTTCACGGCGGTTTCAAACATGACCATTAACTGGGGAAACAAAACTCTGGGTTGGTGGATCCCACCAAGGGGCGCGACCCCCATATGTGCCTCGGGTTAAATGGCTACCAGAAGAGGCCCGGATCAGAGTATTAGGAATTATGTTGACGACACTTGGAAGGCCAACATCGAATGATGACTGGGTCCTTAAACCGACACTGGAGAAATTAACCCAATGGAATGACAAGCACATGTCTCTAATAGGCACGACACTCGCAATTAATAACACCGTACTGGCGGCTCTTGGGTACAAATCTGCAATCTGGGCTCTCAGTAAAGAAGTTAAATCACTTAAGAGGCAAGTAACCGCCCTGTTGTGGAGAGGTAACAGCAAGTTGCCGAATGTCATTAGTAGGGTGGCATGGTCGTCGGTATCCAGCCTAAAGACAAAGGGGGCTTGGGAATCTTAGACTCGGACATCCAGGTTATGGCGCTGCTGATACAATGGGTGAGGAGAATGTTGTTCACGTCGGACCTTCCATGACTCTCCCTTGCACTGGAACAGATCGCTAGGCTAGCCCCACAGGCGCCACAGGGTGTACACCCACTGATTTGGTTGGAGGACCGCTACTGGTCCATACCGCGGCACTCTCAAACTGACAAGAGCTCGGGCCGGGACGAAGCAAGAAGAGATCTGTCCAAGGATGATTCTTGGCCCCAGGTTCTTAAAGCCTGGCGCCAGCTACCATTGCAAGACAAAACTCCTCCAACCACATGGGAAGAGGTGATGTGACAACCCCTCTTTGGCAATAGAAACATCATCGATAGAAATGAGAGGGTGTATCGCAGCTCGGACTCACCATGGAGTAGCTGGGTCAGGAAGGGTATAGTTAGAATCAAGGATATATGGGACCCGGAGAACAAAAATTGGAAAACGGCACTGCAATTGAGGGCCCCAATGAGGTACTGTCACAATGTTGAGCAGAACCTGGAGGAATTGATTTTCGCGGTCCCTCTTGACTGGGTACGCATTTTGTGCAAGGGACCGCGATTGGTAGAAGGGGACTGGGTGGCAGCCCCGGGAGACACTGAGAGTGTGGGCAACGTGGTGGAGGTACGGGTCGAGGAGTCTTTGGTCAGCCTCCTCCACAAGGGGAAGGATACTGTCCTCTCTAGATACACCCCGGAGGCAGTGAGGTGGTGGAAGAATGAAGAGTTGTACAAAATTCGGGTGATGAGGCAGAAGGATGTATGGGTTGCGTTTCACCCAGAGACCCCTCTTGCAGAGCTCCCTTTCGACCTGGGGGAGTGGCACTAGCCGACCGCTTCAGATAAACGGTTGTTTAGCCTAACTGTAAAGGACACATACCGGCTGTTGCGACCAAAGGTGAACTTGAGAGAGATAGTGAGGGTCCGCTGGCAGGTTCATCTGAATGTGGGGAATGACACTCCTTGCCCTATCCAATGGTTTATAACCACGAGATCCAAACCGGCGAAGTTTGCCTCACTACAATGGCGGATAGAGCATCGTTGTATCCCCACTAACAATTGGCTGGTGGACCGCACGTACCTAGAACAGAAGGGCTTGGCGCTGCCATGGTGTAAATCCTATCACACCGCCTTCCCTTCTTGTAAGATTCCGGAAACCATAGAACATATCTTCCTACAGTGCCCAAGGGCAGTGTTAGCATGGCGATGGTGGGATAGGATATTGAACCTTTTAGATACCGGATCCACCTGGCCATGGGACTGGAGAGCGCTGCTCTGCGAGGCATGGACCTCCCCCTCGGACAGTGACTTCGAGAATAATATGTTTAAAATAGGAAGGAGAGCCATCATCTGGGCACTCTGGAGAAAACGTTGTATACATTCCATTGAAGGGGTTCGAGTAGATGGGGAGGAAGTGACAAAAATGATCAGGCAGTTCATCAATCAAGAACTCCTCATGCGGTGGCAAAAAGTTAAAAGCCAATTAGACTTGTACCACCTCAAAAAAGACATTACACAAGCAATGAACCAATTCTTAGGGGACTGGCTGGGTAGCGAAAAAGAGGGCTGGATCGCACACATTCGATGGGAGGGAGGACAAACGCAGGGGCAGGAACGGGATGATTTCAGACGGGACTACTGCATCTGCTTCAAAGAATGGACCAAGGTGGGGCAGGGGGTCCCACTGCGTCCACCCTCAGACTYCCCAGACCCCTTCCCGCCTCATCAGCTGGCAATGGTGGACATGCAATGGTACGGAGCAGCGTAAGTAGATGACAACCAAACGACCAACAGGCAGCGGATCAAGGTGGCAGGACTATGAGTGGATGGAAAAGCATAATTTTACGGGGGCAGGGTGGCAGAGGATCTACCGTGTCTGCACAAAGCTGCCAGTCATTCAGTTCAAGAATCAAAAGACAGAAGCAGTATCTCTGAGAGACAAGCTTTCATCACCCAGGACATCGAGTGGGACAGAGGGATCGATAGTGGGGGATGGGGTATCTGGCGCCTGGTACAGAGCGAAGCGGTTTTACCCTTTTCCCAACAACTTGCACAGTCAATCCTCTGGAGGACAGAGTAATCAATGCTGGCAGGTGTCTTTCTCGGTCATATTTCCTTACATTTTCCTGATTCATTCTGTGTAAGGGACGCTGGACCCGTTTTCCAGCAGGTGATGCTCCCCGCCAATAGATGGAGCTTCTCCTTGGGTGCTAGTGATGCCTGCTTTTACCAGCAGCACTAGCACTGCTGCAGGGGGTATTGTTTAAAAAAAAAAAAAAAAAAAAAAAAAGGGAACAACGTACCTGGAGATAGCTGCCCCCAACCACAGATTTCTCACCAATTGAGCCGATGTGCATTTCGATGACCGGTTGTAGCTTCGGTACCACCCACAACGCAATGCAGTGCCACCTCAGCCAAAATGCCACAACAGCATGCTCTCATCATCATGCATACATCCGCTGTTGCCACAGCTTCCCACGCTGTCGCCACAGCCTTCCAGAGGGCCGACCCCTCTACCTGGGTCCCGCTCAACAAGCCAGAGCCAAAGTATCCTCACTGCACAGAAGCATTGTCAGCGCACCAAGTAACAATGTCGCCAGTGCCAGGTAAGCGGCGATCTCGAACCAGCTCCAATACCAAATTGCAAGGAATATGAGTGGGAATGATATACAGAAATCCAAGTTGCAAAATCACACAGATGTCCAAGTAGTCGTACACAAGCAGAGAGCATAATTGCACCGAGATTCCACCCAAATAAGAGCAATACAATGAAGTCATGAGCCAATGTTCAAGCCCTCAGGCCACACCAACACAGTATCCAATGTCGCTCCTCTCTGTCTGGCGCCCAGCGCCCAGCCTACACTACTTGTCTATCCTACCTACATCAGCATTCACGTAACAGGCTCACTTCGAATTTGAAGACCAATGTACATGACGTCTCACCACCCACACTCGCCTCCTTCCTGAAGACCACCGATCGCCCTCTTTACCCCCTAGCGCCCTGCAGCCTGGCTATGGCTGCTTGCGCTCCGCTGCCCAGCAGCGCCCCTCTCACTCTCAAGCGCCCGTATGCGCCCTGGCCTCAACGCAGTACTCAGCCTGTAACGCAGCAGCGCAGCACAGCCTCCAAGTGGTTGCAGAATTCTCATTGGCGTGCGGCACATGTGTGATGACAATGCTGCTTCCTCATTGGCCCGTAACCAGTCCGGGATGTGTCGGCCTCACACAGCGTGTGCCCAGGGCGCAACCGCCTGAGCCCTGGGCTCAACTGTACAGCGCAGCCCTTTGCTTCTGGAAAGAGCCTGGATGCTCACGTTGCTCTGTAACCAACTGGCGTGCTGCAACTGTCTGAGTACCTAGGATGGGCACGTGGATTAATGGAAAAATTGCCGAGAACAGGCCTCACGTGGATATTCAGGCCCGCCTTCACTTAGGATGGGCACGAGGCTTGCTGGGAGCCACAGCCCAGAACACTTGTATGTTTGATAAGGCTCTGCAAGGCTCATTCCTCGCATATGGGATGCTGGGCACGGTTCCCAGCACCTGCAGCTCTCCACCACTAGACTACTGATGGGAAGCAGCACCTGGTGGCAACCTGGTGCAGGGTGAGTTTCTTGGGTGTGCAGGCCCGCAAGCAGCAGCATACATACCTGATGGAAGACGAGGCAGACGACAGTACGAGGTGGAAGAGTGCAAAGAAGAAAAGGGTAAAGAAGAAGAAGAAGAAGAAGAAGAAGAAGAAGAAGAAGAAGAAGCAGAAGCAGAAGCAGAAACAGAAGAAGAAGAAGAAGAAGAAGAAGAAGAAGAAGAAGAAGAAGAAGAAGAAGAAGAAGAAGAAGAAGACGAAGAAGACGAAGAAGAAGAAGAAGAGGAGGAGGAGGAGGATACCGCACTGTAGGAGGAGGAGGATACCGCACTGTAGGAGGAGGAGTAGGAGTCTCTCTCTCTCTCTCTCTCTCTCTCTCTCTCTCTCTCTCTCTCTCTCTCTCTCTCTCTCTCTCCGGTCCAAGAACCCAACGAAAGATGAAGAAGAAGAAGAAGAAGAAGTCAAGGAAATACAAAACCACAAAGATGCTCCACGGAGGGCCAAGAAGTCCAATGAAGAAAACTTCAATGTTAACACTCAGCCAAACACTGCATAAAAACCCACAAATGTCCCTCGACGCGTTTCGACTTGGTGCGTGTCCAAGTCGTTTCAGGAGGCCACCACCCCAGTTCACGGAGGAGTATAACTCCTCATCCTAGAATCCCATATCTTGCCTCTGTCACACATCCTTCTTCTCTCCACCCTGAACCCTTCTGCCTCGTCCCCATTCACGGCATGTCAGGTTGGTGGTACACACAAGCGCAATCCGTCTCCCCACTCTCATCCCACAACGCCGGGAGGATACAGGTGTGTTCTGGAGTACATCCAAATATGGGTGCATCTAAAAAGGATAAAACCCCGGACAAGTTGAGCGTATATCCTAACTTACACAGCAGGAAATACATCAATTTTCGACCAATGGCACGATGGGTCCGGTCCCTCGAGCCCCTGCAGACCCGGCACCCAAATCTAGCGTGGTCCGGAATTGAAGTACTCTTTGTTCTGCACCGGAACTTTTCCACAGAGTGCCCAAAACGATCGTGGATAACTGACAAAAACAGTTTGAAGCCACTGGGCCCCCACACGCCAGGCCAGGACAGCCAGCAGCAACACACTTTCCATAAAGGAAAGTGTGAGCCGCTGGGAGAGGCATTCTGGCCTTAGCAGGCAATGCGGACACGCTGCTGCGCTGCTCCACTAGTATCTGCGTGTGCACGCTGGTCGGACGCGCGCACGTGCGCTGAGGTGAGGGCCCCTGTGAGGGCAGCGGGGGCACATCAGCCATAGCCAGGCTGCAGGGGTGCAAGTTAGGAGATGACGAAGGTGGTCTTCGGGACGGAGGCGCATGATGTGGGGAGACGAGGGGTGATGACGAGAGGAGACAGAACGTACCTGGTGTATGCTGGTGATCAGCATCGGTGTTGACGTCACGTACATTGGTCTTCGACTTCAGATTGATCCAGTTGCAAGAACGTAGATAGGCTAGATAGGCTGAGTAGGATAGGCTGGGCGCTGGGCGCCAGACAGTAAGGGTTTTTTTTTTTTTCTCTAAACGGGCCCAGTGCCCAAGGCTGATATTAGCGTATTGTATTGCTCTTATTTGGACGGTATCTTGGTGCATTGCACTCTCTGCTTGGTTCATGACTATCTGAGCTACTTCATGATTTTGCAACTTGGATTTCTGTCTATCGCCCTCGCTCATATTCCTAGCACATAGATTGATTGATATAAAAATATGAACAAAACCAGCAGGTGCAACATGTTAAGGGGAAGAGCTCCAGTGGCGATAGCATCTCTGGAGAGTCTGTACTACTGTGCTGTGCGCCGCTTACCTGAACATCTTTGCTGTCAACTACCCTGCCTTAACTAGATCTCTTTTTTTTTTTTTTTTTTTGGGAAACCAGCCTCGGAATATCAGGCGGGGCGATAAGAGCACCACCTCCTGCGAGCCTGCCGCTGGATGCTTCAGTCTATTGGTGGGGAGCAGCACCTGCTGGAAAGATCTCAATGAAGAGAGTTAGAAAAATGCTGGCAAACGAATCCCGCTTCCCCTTTCTAGCCCCTTTTTGAGTTTGATCTGGGTTTTTTGGTCCCTTTTCGATTTCCCTTTTCCTGAAACCCTGTCCTTCTAACAGCAGGCAACTGATCTAACTACCATCCTTTTTTTTTTTCTTTTTTTTTTTTTGAACATCTGTATGGCATGTTACCAGAGAATATCCCCCAACTTTGCATCTGTATGGCATGTTACCAGAGAATAGCCCCTAACTTTGCTGTTCCCATTTTGCAGAGAACCACCGCATGCCCACAATTTTTTTTTCTTTTTAATTTGGACCATTTCTCGATTTATGTCTGTCATCCTTGCGCAGGGCCCATGCTAATTATCCTTCTCTGTATCGTACTATAGTTCCAATTTAACGGGGTGTCCCGAAGGACAACATGCCCACATTTTTTGCCGTTTGCCACAAGGCACAGTGTGAACGCGCTGTACCTAATCGGTCCTACCCTGGTAACATTCCCCCCAGCTACACCTGCCACCATGATTGTTACATATGGCATTCCACACGGGCCCTTCAGGCCCGACGACTAGGCTGAGGGGTTCCGAGGGCCTGGACGCGATAATCCAGGCCAGGTTGTCCCAAAGGCCGGACCTTTGTAGGCCGCCCCTTTGGCCTTGCGCAACCGGTTCCAGACCAGGCCCTGCAGCCGCAGGCCCTGGGCGGGAAATGGCCAAACGTTTTTCGTTTGGACCAGGCCGCTGTTTAGGCAGCCTGTTTTCCCGAAAACCGGTCCGACCTGAACCACGGATCGGATGATAGATCCGACGGTTCAGATCGGAGGCCACCTTCGGAGGCAGAGACCGAACTGGCCGCCGGCCGGTATTTAGGCCCAGCCAGCAGCCATTTCCAGGAGGGAAGAGTACGGCAGCACTGAGGAGAAAACGCTGCGCTATTTCCGTTTCAGCGCAGCACTAGGCAGCAGCACTAGGCGTAGTGCTGGCTGTAGAGGTGGTAGGTGGAGTAGGGAGACTTACCTGATGGCCACATCGCGAGCGCCATAGCTCCAGCGGCGGGGGCTGGTCTTCGACAGTGGCAAGGCGTCAGCTTGCATCCGCAGGTAGAGCCTGGGCTCTGAGTCGCCATCTCCACCTCTCCTCTGCTCCTCTTGGATCTTCTTCTTTTTCTTCTTCTTCTTCTTCTTCTTCTTCTTCTTCTTCTTCTTCTTCTTCTTCTTCTTCAGACTGGAGACTATTGATACGAGTTGGACAGAGATCAGTGATTGGACTTCGGTGGTAGGAGGATGTGATACGTACCAGATTTGAGACATTGGAGATAGTTGGGATTGATACCTGGCGGCATCGCAGATCGGAAATCAGTTACATTAGGATTCTGTACCTCCGACGTTGGTGACTTATGTCAACGACATTCTGATTTTGTTCGGTGACATTTTGGGCAACTATATCGGTGACATTTTGGATTCTATTTCGGTGACATCTGGTGCTGTCCCTATCTCCCACCTCCATCATCTCTCCTCCCACCATTCATCTGCGTATGGGTGTACGGGGCTGAAGCATCATCTATGTATGGCTTCAGACCCCACCATCTCACGATTGCTTGTGTGTTGAGTGATGTCTAGGTGAGTTCCATCTATGTGAGGCAGTCCATATCTCAGACTTCCGCTGCATATATGCTCATCCTATATTGGTTGATCTTTGGTTCTGCCCATACTTGGTGAAGGTATTCACTAGTATGCAACAATGATCTAGCTAACCCTGCAACTGGTGGTAAGAGAACCCCCGGAATTGAGGCTTTGCCTGATGTGCTAGTCCTACTATTAACTGCCGGGTCACCCTGAGGCTGCAGACTGTTCCAAACACTCCGGCTCCATCCCCCGCGGGCTTCCGTCCAAAAGCATTTGAAAAGGGCAACAAAATCACATGCGGGCAATAAACCCATGCGCTGAGTCTGAAAGGGCAACAAAAGCATTTTTACCCGCGCACCGAGTTCGAAAAGGGCAACAAACTTGTGCACCGAGTTTGAAAATGGCAACAAAATCACACGCGAGCCACAGCCATTTTTACCAATATTGCCCTTTTCAAAATCCGCACCCAATTTTGTTGCCCGCACATGTTTTTTTTGCCCTTTCAAAACTGAAAGTGTGACACTGCCTGAATTGAACCTTTGAATTTCTCTATTTTTTGTAAATTAATCAATTGTTGACATTGTTGTAATATTGTTTCTTCAGATCCAGTTCCTGCTGGAATCAATCTTCCTAAAATGACATTTTCTTCAAGTCCTTTTAACCAATCAGTCCTTCCCTTAATTGCAGCCTTAGTTAATACACGAGTTGTTTCTTGGAATGAGGCTTCTGATATAAAACTACGAGTATTTAATGATGCTCTTGTTATTCCCACCAAAATAGACTGGTGCTCATTCATTTGTGTTACAGGTCGTTGCTTAAGGATGGAAGGGGCAATCGAGCGGATGAATGAAGATGAGGCGCGTGCCAGGTTCCATGACTTGAGGAAGGAGAAGGATGGGGTGGCCCCACGGGAGCTTGACAGGATCTGGGCAAGCCTCCCGCCATTGGATGCAGGAGACATCCGAGGACTGTGGAAAGGTGCTGCTTTTCAAACAGGTCATGCCCTGTGCCAGAAACTTACTGAGGTCCACTGGTACGGCAAGCTGTTTGAGTCCAGCACAGACGTCAAGCCATTGATGTGCTATAATGAGCAGGGTGAGCTGTATCATTACACAGAGCAGTCGATGGGGGATGCCAGCTTGTGGAATGTCCAGTTCCGAGGAGAGGTGACAGCTACCATGGTGTATGACGGCCAGCCCATCTTTGACCATTTCAAGAAAGTTGACGATTCCACACTCATGGGAATAATGAACGGCAAGGTGAACTTTGTATTCGACAAAGGCGAGCACTTTTATTTCATTCTAGAACGCAGTTGAAGGAGGCAGCCACTGTGTGCATATCCCATTAAACCACCAGTTCACACGAGAGGGGTTAACTCAGACCAAGCATTTAATAACAGTATGGATGATGGGGCTTGAAACTTTTGTTGTGCGGCTGCACTGAGTAATACTACCGGTATTTGTAGTAGCATGGGCTAATCAGTGGTGACTAAAGGCGTGACTACAAGAAGCAAGTCCCTCTGATAAGCGGTCGTGTGGCATGGGAGCAAAAAGTGTCACCTCCTCCTGCTGTACAAGCCAGGTTGCACGTGAGTGTGAGATATGCCGAAGGCTCTTTTCGCTATCTCCGAGCCGCCCATCGTACTCACCTTTGCCAGCCTCTCACACTTTGATTCTCTTCATCTTAGGAGCGGTATGGCCTAGCGTACTCACACAATGGTGGAAGCCAGACTGAGCCGAGGTATTAGTGGAGCAAAGAGGAAAATTCCTTTTGGATTCTGCCGGGAGCGAGCAAAAGGGGAAAGGGATTCACGGTGTAGCAAGAAAAGGAGGCGGAGGAGCTATACGGGTGGGCACGGTGGGGAGAACATATATACTCCTCTATATACGAAAGGAGGGATTATACGACTACCGGTAGTTGGACTAATTAGGCAAAAGGACATCACAGTGGGGGAAGTCATTGGTGATCGTTGCCCCCAAGTTGGGGGCAATGCAATTTAGGTAAGAAAAATGGACTCCTTTCTTGACCTTTTTTTTTTTTTTTTTTTTTTTTTTAAAMAGGGCCTTATGGTCCTGGCTCCTTCTATTCTGGGGAGCGTCAGTCCGGTTCCTATTCCACCGGCAAGTCGGAGTATACATTACTTTGAACATCACACACGCTTCCTTCCGTTTGGCCGAAGGACCCCTGAGCAGCATTGATTGCTCCACCATGGTGGAGGATTAACTGTCAGCTTGCCTTGACACCCTCTTTCCTCTCAGGTCTGGAGGCCAGATCTGCCAAATATTGCAATGCCATCTAGAAAGAGCTTATCCCTTGTCCCTACTGGCCTGTGCCCTCCCCACTCATCTGCCCTGCCCGTGAAGCATGATATCCTCTGTCCCACTTTATTTGTCCCCCCTTTTTTTAAATCCTCACTAAAAACCTTAAGGCTTAAACCCTAAACCCTCATCCTGTGTACCCTACTCCATCCTCCCGTTGAGTCCACCATTTCTCCTTGTTCTGGTCTTTTGTTGTCATCCGTCCATCTCCATGCTGTACATCCCTGACTGTAGTATTTTAGGTTTGTCAAACTCTCATGGGAATCTGAGCAGGATGTGTTTAGTCCGTCCACAGTTATCTGTTGTCGATAGCCTCGTCCTTGGTTTGGATTGTGCCGGCCATTCCAGTAATTGCTGTCATCTCATGTTCACGAAGTGGTTGTTCCAACCTCCGTTAATCCCTATTTGGAGCTCCTTTCAAGCCCTGAGATATGTCACTCCTTCCTGCCGGTACGGTCCTCTCGTGTCTCTGCAGTCTTGCCGTTTGAACAACCAATTCTTGTAAAACCTCAGTCTCCCGTTCTTTCACTGTTCCCCGTTTCCTGCTTAGGTTTGCTCGATCTTCCACCCTTTGCAAAGGATCTCTGCTTGTATCGTCTATTAGTGGAACATCAATCTGTTGCCATCACCTTTATGTTCTCTCCTTGGAGCCTCCTGGTTTTCATTAATCCTGCAGTGTCCTGTCTTTTGGGTAGACCTCGGCGCCTCCTTATTGCCCACACCCTCCCTTGACTTGTCGAATACTGCCCGTGTAGCCTGGCTTCTCCGCCGTGTATCTGACTTGTGTCAATCCTTCCTCTTTGTGGCCGAGGCTTTTCAGTTCGTCCTCCCTAGTCCCTGCCTGCCGGCTCTTGGGGTTTTCCTTTGTTCGTCCTCTGCTGCACTTCCTTCTCGGGACTGGGTCGCCCTCTTTTGTGCTGTTTTTCAGAACTCTCTGCTTGAGTAAAGGCCTTTGTCTCTGCTATGACCTTTCCCTTGGCGGGACAAGGCCTTCGATAGTCTCGGGGCAGCTTGCTTTCTTGGGTGGCCACGGCAACCCTTTATATTTCTTGGATATGGGGTAGGATGTAATAGAGGAGCATTGGGATAGGGTAAGGAGGGGTCTGGTTGATGGGGGATGTGGACTGGACCGTGCTGGGCAAAATAGGTGCATCCTACATTAGGAAGATGGTTGGCGGGGAGTGAGTCTTACTGTACTGAGGTCCTAGTCGGAGTGGACTTACTTGTTGTGGTTTAGGCGAGTCTGGAGATGAGGGGACGCGGTGGATGGGTGGATGTTAGGCAGAACCTTTCTTGTTGTTAGCCCCAGTTTGTGAAAAGTAGAGTACCTCCCTCTATTTTTGCAATTTTGTCCTCTAAAAGCCATGTTTTTTTTAATTTTCTCAGACTTCAATCTTTTTTGTCTGATTGTATTATCTTCTGTTGTTCCTTTTGCTCTTTGATCCAGCGAGTTCTTACTTCCGTTTGTATTATGCTTTTTATTTCCACCCATTTCTCTTCTATGCTTGACAATTGACCTTCTAAGGTGCCTTTACACCTTGCCTTCCAGATTGCCCAGAGTGCTGCTCTCCTCCATAAGTCCGCCACTACCACCGCTCCTTCTTCTAGGTCTTCACTTTCCAGTCTTCCCGTTAACAGATACAGTGGACTGCTGGGGAGATTACGGTTCGTTAGATTGTGCCAGAGATTTTTTGTTCTATTCCACACTTCTTGTGCTTGCTGGCAGGATATTAAGCAGTGGACCAGATACTCCTCAGCATGGTCGTTGCACACCTCGCACAGGGACATTTGTTGTTGGGGATCTTCCTGTTTTCTCCTTTTAGCCAACCATTGGTTGACTGGCACTGCCCAATATAGTATGAGCCACTGCAGACTTCTGATTCTTACCGGTCTTATCTTTGTGTACTGACTCCATGGGATTTTATTTGTCCAACCTGCGTTTTCACCCAGGTTTCTTTCCACCTTTCTGAGATTACTGGGAGAGGATCCTTTGTGAGATTGCCCAGTTTGTAGCCCGTTTTAACTTCGTAATCATATATTGGGGTGAGCTTTTTGGCTCTCCTCGAATTGCTGGGTACCATCCAACCGCATGCCGCTGGGTCCACTTCTAGGTCTTTGATGTCTAGGTCTGGTCTGTATAACCTAATTCCGTTTAGATCAGGTTGGCTGGAAGGGTTCTGTTTTCTGCCCTTTTTGAGTGTGCATGATCGTACTCTTTTGAGAGTGTTGAGCTTTTGCGTTGTCCGTGGTTCTATTACCTTGACTGGTGCACTTCCGCTAGTTCGTACGCGGCGAACTCTGCCTTCCCATCTTCTGCATCTGTCATTTGGAGCAGCTTATAAGCAATGGTTGGGGGGTCTGATTCAGTTCTTGTGGCCCAGTCCCCCACTGCCCACTTGTTTTTGCTCCTCAGGAGGAGAACCCATTTCAGTGGGACGCTTTCCAATAGACTTCCTAACTGTTCTTTCAGTTTGTGAATCCCTTTGAGTTTAGTTCTGAGGTCCTGTGCTGTCAGCCATCTGTTTTCCTCTGAGTTCCATAAATCTTCTATTTTCCACACTACTTTGCTCATCCATTTCCTCCAATGCTTGTCTTTTGTGTTTAAGGACCATGGTTTGTGGTTTTGGTCCGTTAACAAGGGGTTCCCAAAAAGCGGCTGCCTCAGAACTTCTCTTATTCTTGGTGTTCTTATCTTTTGCGGGAAACAAGTCCTCCAGTGTTTTATTAGTATGGCCCAGTGCTCGCTTGTGGGGTCTTTGTCCTTTGCCAGTCTCCCCCCTTCTTTCCTTCTTGGATTCCACTACTTTCTTGACTTTAATTAACAGCAAAATAATAACAATTATGTTTGAATTTCAATGTTGTTATTTGTTTCTTTGATGGCTGGAAGTTCTTCAAAGGTATGAAAAGCTGGAGGGCACGCATGGATGGATCCAAGGCCAGAAAGTATGGATCAAAGACTACTCTGGATCCGCATGGATCGGAGAGTTTGTCGGTAGTGGAAGGGTTGCAGCGTCGGAAATTTTTGACTAGAAGATAACAGTTTGTTAATGACATGCATGATAGAGGATGGGATTTATTACTATTGAATCTAGTATCTCTCTCCTGATGATACCTAACCCCATGACTGCTTCCCTGTACTTACTGTTCCTGATGGCCGACGTCGCACTTTCCTTGTCTTAGCCTGCTGATTGCTGGATGCTCGATGCTTTTCCTTTTCTTGACGAATTCGACTTCTTTTTCTGTTCTGGATCCTAGGTGTGGTGCAATCGTATCATTATAGAAATAGTGTATGAATGACGAGGGATATTGATAGGTGCCAATCTTGCTTGAAGGAAAAGAAAAAGAATGACGAGCAACATTGATAGGTGCCAATTTTCCTTGAAGAAATAGAGACCGGCAAGGTGTGAAAAATGGGCAGAGCAATGAGTGTAGTATTTGGAATGATGGCGCAGCGGTCCATATGTCATAGCATAGTATGCTATGAGTACAACATAATACAGTGTGTGAAAATATAACACATTGTCTCACACACACACGCACACACACACACACACACACACACACACACACACACACACACACACACACACACACACAATCAGTTTTTGGTATGTTTGTTTTTTTCCCTTTTTTTTTCTTGTGTTTTTTTTTCTTTTTTAAAAAAAAAAAAACAGGGCCTTATGGTCCTGGCTCCTTCTATTCTGGGGAGCGTCAGTCCGGTTCCTATTCCACCGGCAAGTCAAATTATACATTACATCAATGACCACTCACACACGCTTCCCTCCGTCAGGCCGAAGGACCCCTGAGCAGCATTGATTGCTCCACCGTGGGAGGATTGACTGTCAGCTTGCCTTGTCCCTCTCTTTCCTCTCAGACCCGGCTTCCAGATCTGTCAGATAATGCCTTTGACCCTAGAAGGAGCGCATCTGTTGTCCTTACCCAACCTGATTCCTCCCCATACACCTCTTCGCCCCCCTTTGGATGGTCAACCGTTTATCCTTAAACCCTAAACCCTCAACCTGCGTTCCTATCCTCCGATCATCAAACTTGGAAACTGGCAGGGTGTTCGTCAGCTTCCAGACCTCTGAGATAAGATCTTTCTTTGCAACCCCCGTTCATGCTTCAGTATTATCATCCTCTCCAACTTGTCCTCCTTTTCCCCACGTTGTCTGTACCCCCTGGGTCACTTGAGGATTGTATTTATCCCCTTGCTGCCTAAGATGTGGTTATGCCTTCCACCGTTGTCTGATGTTGGGAACCCCTTTCTGGAATTGAGTTATGCCATTCTTTCCAGCATACCCGATCCTGTTGTAATTCTGTAACCTTGTCATTGACCAGCCAGTTCCTATAGAATCTCTGCCTCTCCTTGTTCCGCTGTTCTTCGTCTTCT